GACAAGGCCCCTGCCCTCCAGGGGTTTAGAGTTTGGCGGGGAAGGGAGATAAATGAGTGATAGCAATACATGTTGGTTGCTTCAGTGCAGGGAAAGTAGGATCTTGGTAGCCAGGGCGTCGGGAACTCACCTATGCTAGAAGTAAGGGACGAGCCTCCACAAGGAAGTGAGTTAACTGGAGGAATCAGTGTGGAATTTGGGCCAGTTGGATGGAAAGGTAGAAACAAGTTGTGTGAAGGTAGGAAGCCAAGACAGAGAATGGTTAGTTTGAGCAGCTAGAAGACGCTCATTACGACTAGAACTTAGGTCAGAAGAGAGAAGTGAGTCTGTAGTGATGGAGAAGAACAGACCACAAGTGACCTTATAGACCATGCTAAGAAGGGGTAGAAAGATTTGAAGCAGGAGAGTGACATAACTAGAAAGATTCCTATGCTGAGACCGTCAGAGAAGAGTGGTTTGGGAATAAAGCCAGCCAAGGAGGCAGAAATCTTCATCATCTTGACTCTTAGAAGTCATCCTGGCTCAGATTTGGGCTTGGGAGCTGGAAGAGACAATAAAAGAAATGGGCTTGGAGCACCCGGGTGGCTCAGTCAGTTGAGCATCTGACTTTGGCTCAGGTCATGATCTCATGGTTCGTGAGTCTGAACCCCACATCGGGCTCTCGGCTATCAATGCAGAGCCCGCTTCAGATTCTCTGTCCCCCACCCTCCCCCCCCATCTCTCTGTCCCTCCCCTGCTCATGCTCTCTCTCTCAGAAGTAAATAAAACGTTAAAAAAAAAAAAAAAAAGAAATCGGCTTGATCTGTTAAAAAAATTTTTTTTTGAACAGCAGAATATTCTCAGCTAGCAGCCATTTTGCCCTCTCCTTATTTGTGTCTCAAATGCTTCCTCACCTGTGGGTATAGATGATCTTGTATTTAGAGTGAAGAAGGACAGATGAGAAGACTATGGCCTCCAAAGGGGCATGCGAGGTGCTAATTCCTCATCCCTGGTTGCAGACCCCTCAAAGCTGCCAGAGGTGTGCCGGAGCCAGTGGCATGGGCTTGCCAGAGCTGAGAGCCAGTCGCCGAATCTTTTCCCAAATCCACGACCAGTCACATCACATTCAAGTTTGACACTGGCTATGGGTGTGGGGGGAGATTTACAGCATCGAAATCAAGCAGATGCTTCCATGACTCAGGACTTCTATTTTTCCTCAAAAGCTGGTTGTTAAACATTCACCAGCACACCCCTGTCCGCCAATCAACAGTCTCAAGCCCCGATGGTGAGGGACTTCTCTTGTCACATGTGTGGCATGACGTGGCTGATCCTTCTGTAAAGTCTCCCCATCTCAGCATGGCTGGTTTTGGACTTTTCCCCTGACTCTGAATTGGTTTCTCTTTTCCTACACACCTCAGCTGTCTAGGGTGTTGCTGATTCTAAAGACAGCGTGGACAAGGGTGTTGGGAAGGGGGGAGCAGGTGTCCGATCAAACAGCCTCCCTTCTGTCCACCATCCCAAGTGTGGGTTGGCAGCCTGCCCTCCCACTTGTGTAAATCCTGATGTGTGGGCTGTTCTTCAGCCTAGGGCTGACTTCCCCATCCTTCCTCTGACTCCTTCTCCAGTGCCCACTTGGGGTGAGTATTTATGTGAACAGAGAGACGGGGAAAGTATAACAAATTAGTTTTGCTCGTTACTTACCACCTGGACGATGGTTGACAGATGATGTAACGAACTTGGTGGTATGGAAACAGTTCTGCACGTGAAATAAGAAGACCTGGGCTCGAACCCATGTCTTCTTCCCTCTTACCAGCCACATGACCGCGGCAAGTTCCCCAATGTCTTTGAAGTTCAACTTCCTTATTTGTCAGTGGGGATGATGATAATACCTACCACTGAAGGTCATTCTGAGGATGGCATGTGGAAATTTATCCATATGTTAATTCTTCTCCTTATTTAGATGTTTTCTAGAACTAGAGCGACTTTTTAATATATGCAATTCACATGTTTGAAGAGATAATGGAGCATCAGCCTTGAGGACACACAATCCCAAATTTGTCCACAGTGGCCCAGGAACAACGCCAAGGTCATTATCCAAGCACCTGCCTCGGCTACAGTCCAGGGAGAGCTGGTCATTTGTTCAGTGCAAGAGCCAGTCCCACAGCCTCTCGAAAGGTATGGAACAGAGGGGACCACACAGGATTAGATGGAACTTTTCAAAATCCTACCAGAGATTAGGTTTGAATGGTAGGACCATGGGAGTTTTCTTGTTGCTCAATTTGTATGTTTTTACTTACGCATCAGGTCCTTCTGTCCTGTAGGGGGGTTGTCCTTTACCAGCTTCTGGTGGGGGGCAGGAAGGAGGAGGTGGATTGGGCCTTAAGGTCTGTCATCATCTCTGCTGTAGGGGAAGGGCTGATGCTTGCTCAGCATGGGTATTGCCCCCTTATCCCAAATACCACCATACCTGTCCTCTCAAGGTCAAGCATATCATTTCTTAAAGGGTTCCAAGAGTGTTACAGAACACCACCTCCTCTGAGAATTAGGGCAGGTGCGGTTATGTCACTTACCCACCACATTTTGCCTCCTAGTAGGTGTGAGGGAAGAAGGGATGGGATAAGACCTCATCACTCAGGACTTTGTGACACGTCCCAGGACAAAACTCATTGCTCTCATTCTGAACATCTCTCCAATCCCTCATCATGTTCCTCCACAGTCCCCGCCTGAAGCCTCATCTTCCATTTGGGACACTCATCCTCACGTGATAATGTATCTCCTTGAGACTTCCAGAGCCTTCTGCCTCCATCATCAGCTGGATCTGATAGTGGAGTCGGCTTTGACTTAGGCTTTGCATGGTTCTGAAGGTGAGCACGATTGGGCAAGAGAACAGTGGGTCCTTCCACCTCAGGGAGCTTTATGAGAGGCATGTGATTTTATTGTAGGCCTATTAGAACCAAACTAGGTATAGGAAACGTTGATTCCACTCTGGGCTGATGCAATAGAAGGTCAGGGTCAGTGGTGGTAGAGACAGAGGGATTGTAGAAGTCAAAGTCTGGAGAGTTCAGTGTTCCTGCAGGCATCAGAGTATGCAGGCAAGAAATTCACAGGACAGCTACAAAGTGCCAACCAGCAGAGGAAAGTGCACCAACCTCACCAATCAGCAAAGAATGCAAAATAAAACGGAATAGCAAGAATTCTTGGAAACTAGCCTGTGGAAAAACAGAAGTACAAAAAGATGTACGCACAAAGATGTTTATTGCAGTACTATTTGTAGCAGTGGATAATTAGAAACAATTTAATTGTACATCAACAGGGGAATGATTAAACGTTATGCAACAAATACTATAGCAGACACTAAAGCAACAAGTTAGCTCTTTACGTGTCCTGAATAGGAAAATGCCCTTGCTACAGTAAAAAAAATGTAGGTGCAGAACACTTTGTATAATATGTTCCTGTTTGTGTAAAAGAATTCTATGTGGACTGTGAGTGTGCATGTAAAAAGAGTGGAGGGATACATACCAAACTGTTAAGAATGGATATTTCTGGGGATTGAGATTAATTAGGAAGAGTGTGGGGGAAGCTATTGCTTTATTGAGATAAAACTGACATATAACATTACATTAGTTTCAGGAGCACAATGTAATTAATGATTTGATGTCCGTATATATTGTGAAATGACCACCACAGTAAGTCTACTTAACATCTATCAGGATATATAGTTACAGAGGTTTATTGTTTCTTGTGCTGAGAACTTTTAAGATCTATTTTCTTAGCAACTTTCAAATATACAATACAGTTTTATTAACTATAGTAACCATGCTGTACATTATATTTCCAGGACTTATTGTTTTTTTATTAAAAACTTAAAAAAAATTTATTCATTTTTTTCAGAGATAGAGACAGAGCATAAGCAGGGGAGGGGCAGAGAGAGAGGAAGACATGCAACACAGCACAGAGCCCGATGCGGGGCTCGAACTCAAGAACGTGAGATCATGACCTGAGCCGAAATTGGACACTCAACCGACTGAGCCACCCAGGCACCCTAGGACTTATTTTTTAACTGCAAGTTTGTACCTTTAAAAAATTTTTTAAATTTAAATCCAAGTTAATAATGGTTTCAGGAGTAGAATTTAGTGATTCATCACTTTCATATAACACCCAGTGCTCATCCCCACAAGTGTCCTTCTTAATCCCCACCACCTATTTAGCCCATCCCCCACCCAATACCCCTCCAGCAACCCTCAGTTTGGTCTCTGTGTTCAAGAGTCTTTCATGGTTTGCCTCCCTCTCTCCGTTTTTATCTTATTTTTCCTTCCCTTCCCCTATGTTCATCTATTTTGTTTCTTAAATTACATATATGAGTAAAATCATATGATATTTGTCTTTCTCTAAGTTATTTTGCTTAGCATAATACATTCTAGTTCCATCCACATTGTTACAAATGGCAAGATTTCATTCTTTTTGATCGCTGAGTGATATTCCGTTATATATATACATTATATATATACACACACCACATCTCCTTAATCCATTCATCAGTCAATAGACATTTGGGCTCTTTCCATAATTTGACTATTTTTGATAGTGCTGCTATAAACATTGGGGTGCATGTGCCCCTTCAAATCATCAATTTTGCATCCTTTGGATACATACCTACTAGTGTCATTGCTGGGGTTGTAGGATAGCTCTATCTTTAATTTTTTGAGGAACCTCCATGCAGTTTTCCAGAGTGGCTGCACCAGCTTGCATTCCCACCAGCAGTGCCAGAGGGTTCCTCTTCCTCTGCATCCTCGCCAGCATCTGTTGGTGCCTGAGTTGTTCATTTTAGCCATTCTGACAGGTGTGAGGCGGCATCTCATTCACCCTTTTGGGAACTATTAATTTTAATTGTGCACACAATTTTTTGTTTGGATTTTTGTAATAAAGCTAAAAAAAGATATTTATAAAACTGAATTTGTAACACCACCTTCGTACTGTTCTCGGAGCTAGGAAACCCAGACCTTAACATGTATCTTGGAATCTAGTCACTTTGACTAGTGACACTCAAATGAATGGAAGAGGGGTCTGGAAAGAGCAAGACTAGTTGAATCAGGGTTTCCTAGAAGGGTCAGCAAGTTATGAAGGCACAGAGAAAAATAGAGCCAGTCACAAGCAGGAGCAAGGTGTCAGGTCCCTGGCTGGGGCCCGCTGCCGAGGGTAACAGTGCTTCCTCCCTGTGTGTTTAGATTAATCCTCCGGGCAGGTGGGGCTTGGCCTGTGAGAGTCAGATGGCCCCAGCTGTGGAGACGCAGGGCTGCAAGTCTGTGCATGAGGCACAGCCCCACACAGCTGTGGTCTGGCCTGACAACGGATGGCTTTGAGGCCTGTTGGAGCTCTAGCCCAGATGGGTCCCTTCTGCACCAAGTGTGCTCCCTGCCTGTTTGCAGACAGGCTGCTGGGCAGGCCTGGCAGTTGGAGCCCTGCCCATGACTCCAGGAGACCGCAGGAGGCAGACATCATGTACCGTGGCTGCCCAGGCCCCAGAGAAGACGATGCCTGGGGGGGCTGCCCGACCCCACTGATGCAGGCTGCCAGTTCAGCCTCTTCGCTGCCTTCTGTTCATTGTCTTCTAACCACAGGTCTGGAGGCCTCAACTGCTTGGAAAGTCGATAAAACAAGCTGGTGTGTTTCCCCTTGGCACCCTGACAGGCTCCACACCGTGGGAACCCTTCTCTAGGAGTCTCCTTTGGGAACAGGCCTCCTAACAGGCGCTAGGCCTAGGCTGGCCCCTGCTGTCAGCGGCCCCGGAGTGTCCTGCTGGGCAAGTTCTGGAGGCTCATTGGGCGTGGAGGGAGGGGTCAGAGCTGCGGTGACAGCAGCTTGTCTATCAGTGGGTCCCCTCCAAGCCTCACCACCCCTGGCCTTCTCTCCTCCTCATGGAGCAGCAGAAGAGGCAGGGAGTGAGCCTGGGAGTAGGAGTCAGAAGGCAGACTCTGAGTCGTGGCTTGGCCTTTGTGACCTGTGTGGTCCTGGGTAGGTCATCAACCTCTCTGAGTCTCAGGGGCTCACCTGTAAAAAATGTAGTTTGGAAGCCTGTCTACTGCTTCGTGTCGCTGAGAGACGGAGCGCTTCTGAGGTGCCAGGCCCTGTGGTCCCACTCAGCCGGCTCAACTGTGTTCCTAGCTCGCCTTTCCCTGATCTATATGACAGCACAGTCATTGTTATGGCAATTTTTGGTCTTCCCCACTGGAGAGAACACTCTAGAGAGAAATCTTCTGACATAATTGGCTCCCCGTGCTTAGAGCGGTGTTTGGCATTGAGGAGTTGCTCAGAACTCCGCTGAATGAATGAATGGGTATCTCTTTGAGTCCCCATAAGAACCCCGTGAGATGAGAATCCTTAAGTATCTCCATTGTGGGGCCCTGGGTGGCTCAGTCGGTTAAGCGTCAGACTTTGGCTCAGGTCATGATCTCACGGTCCCTGGATTCGAGCCCCGGGTCAGGGTCTGTGCTGACAGCTCAGAGCCTGGAGCCTGCTTTGGATTCTGTCTTCCTCTCTCTCTGCCCCTCTCCCACTCTCACTCTGTTTCTCTCTCTCAAAAAATAAAAAAAAATAAAAAAAGAAGTGTCTCCATTGCATGAACAGGGAACCCAGGACGTAGGGAAGAAAATAATTTTCATAAAGTCACATAAGAGCATGTGGTGTGGCTGGTGTTCAAACAAAGCACCTTAACTCGAGAGTCTAGACTACTTAGTCTCCTAAATAAAATGATGTCCTTGGAACTGTTGGCTAAACTGTAAAGTGCTGTGTAAAGGTAAGGGTGAAATAATTTACCTGAGGATCTAAAAAGGCTCTTCATTTTTGTACAGGGGAGTGGCCTTTGCCTTGAGCCCTGCCCACCCCGCCTCCATGTTTTAGGTAGCATTGTCAACTGTGGACTTCTTGCTGGTATTTCTTTTCTATATTATCCATAGCCAATCTTTAATCCAAAGCTGATTTACCCAGACCGCCCAGCACATTTCTCCGCCACCTCCCGCCACGGTCAGCTGGTGGGGAGTGTGCTCAGGAGGTTATAACTGCATTTTATTGCCAGCCTGAGCCCAACTTGGTCAGAGAGTGAAATTCCAGTCTGAGGCACGTTGCTTTCCAAATCCAAACAGATTTCTGAGGTATATTTTGCTAAGATAGGTTCCTGCTTCTCTCCTCTTTATCCTTGTTACCTGAGAATTAGTTGTCAATCCTTAAAATGGTTTTACATATAACATGTACTTGTGGTACTCTGCTCCCATCGCGTCACTTGTCTTGGCCTGGGTTGCACCTCCAGAGCCTGACTCGGACTTGATCCCACACCTTCCTCTTGTGCTTGCCCGGACTCCTGGGCCCTGTCTGCCTCTTGCTTTCTCCCTGTGTCCCAAACCACGAGTTTCACCTTGCTGGCAGGGCATGGATGTCCTGGTTGGGAATCGTTTGGGTTGAGGGAGGAGGGAGTGAGGGGCTTGATTAGGGACGTGGAAGAACAAATACAGGAAGGAGAAAAGCCAGAGAAGATGTCTCCCTCCTGACCTGTGTCCTCTGTTCAGCAGCATGTTTCCTTCTGCTCCTGGGAAAGGCCTTTTGAAGATTGTTGCTGCTTCCTTGGTGGTGAAACAACAAGGCTTTCCACCGGGGAGGTGGGGAGGGGGGCGCATATAGAGGTAAGGCTTCCTGTCCTCTTGGCAGGGAGAGGATGGCTTGCCAATGTCTTCCCGGGAGCAGGTGATCACCTTGGTGAGTCCTGAGGGGATCCTTGGCATCCGAAATCAAGACCAGGTGATGGAAGGAAAAGTACAGGCTTTGGAATCAGCTTGGTGTTGAATTCAGGCCCAACCTTTCCCAGGTGTGCAATGTTGGTGGTCATTTAAAGTCTCTGAGCCTCAGTTTCCCCATGTGTAAAATCGCACTTTCTCAGGGTTGTTGTGAGGCTTGAATGAAATGGCCTTTAAAGTGCCCTATAAACAGAGTGAATCTGTGCAAGTAATTATAACTGTATCCAATGGGGAACAGTTTATTGACCAGCATTTCCCTTAGAAGGAGAAAACTAGTTTATTGGGGAAATACTTTGATCTGTACTTTGGAACAGAAGCTGAAATTTAGGGGGACTTGGATGCTGCACAGGCATGGGGACGGTTTGTATATTATGCTAGGGAGGTACAGGAGAAGGAGTATGAAGTGACCCCCCACTCCTTGGCTAGCTGCTCCATATTGAATTTCTCTGAATCGATTAGGTGCTTGTATACAAGTATATTTTTCATGGCAGTCGGGGGCTGGACTCACATCTGGGATGATGTGGGGGCACGACAGAGGTAACAGGCACCAACAGACACCTGGAGGCAGGAGAATCTTGAAAAGGGAGGCACAGGAATTCACAGAAATGGTGGAAAGGGCTGTGCACCCTTGTAGGCCAAGAAATTGGGGTTCAGATCAGATTTAACAGATCATTTATGGGCGAGGAGTTACAGTGGGCATCTTGTAACTTACTAGCCCATCATCATCATCACTGCCCTTATTTAGCAGAGAAAGAGAGAAATGGGTTCAAATGAAATGCTTTGCTCAGTCAAGGTCACATAGCACCAATGGTGACAAAACCAGTCTTAAATTCCCTGTTGCCTGCTTTCAACCATGGCTGTGCCCTCTGAGCCAGACCACCTGCCCATCACGAAAGGCTTGTGGTCTCAGTTAACAGATGAGGAAATTAATCTCCAGGGGTTGCACAATCTGCCCAAGATGAGAGCTGGGCTCAATGCAGGGCGCTTAGAAGGGGCAGAGGATGCCAGCAGGGAACTTCAGGTCCATGGGGAGCCATTTTCCTTTTATTTTTTAATTAATTAACTAATTAATTAATTTTTTGAGAGAGAACACAAGTGAGAGAGGGGCACAGAAGAGAGACAGCACCCCACAAGGGGCAGAGAGAGAGAGAGAGAGAAGTGGGGCTCACCCAAAACAGGGCTCCAGCTCACCTGAAGCATGGCTCCAACTCACATACTGTAAAATCATGACCTGAGCCAAAGTCAGATGCTTACCCAACGGAGCCACCCAGGTGCCCCACCATTTTCCTTTTAGACAAATTACTTCACTTATCTGGGATGATGACCCCTATTACTCCTGTCTGTTACTTGCACTAAAGTTTCTCTCTATGCAAGGGGATTAGGATTACTGTCACCCAGGAGTCTGGCTCCCACACTCCTGCTTTGGCTTCATGTCTGCACCTGCTTCATTCTTGCAGAGCCTTGGTCACACTTCAAAGCATCATCTCACACATAAAGGCTAAATTTAGCCTTAATCAAATAATTGCTGAACACTAAATCATTGAACGATCATTACCAACTCCAATTATTGATGACTAAGAAAGAATGCTTGAGGAAGAGAGGAATCAGTTACATAACTGAACCCTCATGGAGGTTTTAAAAAATAATCCTGTGTACATACAATTGTCTTCTTATTTCAGAAAGCTTAACACCTCTATCAGGTGTCCTCCTAGAAGCTGTGGAAACCTCATTGGCCATGGAGATAAAATGGATGATCCCAGAATAGTTATAAGGGGAGCTGAGAGGAGTGTGTGTGTGTGTGGGGGGGGTCAGAATAGGAGGCTGGGGCAAGGGGTCAGGGGTCTTCTCATGGCTTCTAGATCAGTATTCAGCTAAACTATTCCATCAAATGGTCACCAACTAAATTCTTCAACGAGGGCAGGACAAATGAGGAAAGGTGAGGGAGAAAAGAGAAGAAAGAGTTTCCCCCAAATAGCTCAACAGAGGGAAGGTATAGGGTGACAGAGTCTTGGTAGCATAAACCTTTGTAGATAACTTGGGGCAAAATTTTATAGAGGTTGGAAGACCTTCTGTAGCACCAGACATTGATAAGAATGACTTAGTGATGGCCAAATGCCCACTTGCTATCCTGCATTCTGTACAGGAAGCTGCTTACATGATTTCCCCTCTCTGAGCACTAGGACATCAAATTCACGATTGAATAGTGGCCATCCAGTCCAAGAAGATGACAGAAAGATTCGTGAAGAATGGTTAAGCCCACTCTCTGTACTGAGCATTTGTACATGCACCCACTCCTGTACTCTGTGTTCAGTGACATCACTTTGGTTGTTTACATTGGCTGTGGTGGGAGCATTTCCATCAAGAAAACTGGGAGACCTCTGGAGTTTCCCCTTTGCTGGAAAGCTGGTTTAAAAATTTACTAGCAAAAGGGGCACCTGGGTGGCTCAGTTGGTTGAGCGTCCAACTCTTGATTTCAGCTCAGGTCATGATCTCACGGTTTGTGAGTTCGAGCCCCATGTTGGGTTCCATGCTGACAGCATGGAGCCTGCTTGGGATTCCCTGTCTCCCTTTCTCTGCCCTTCCCCAGCTCTTGCTCTCTGTCTCTCTCAAAATAAATAAGTAAATAAATAAATACAGTTAAAAAAAAATTTACTAGCAAAACAATGATAATGGCTAAAATAAAATAAAAAAAATCTACTAGCAAAACACCTATGGGAATGGCTAAAGTCAAAACCACGGTTTAGACGAAATACTGGTGAGGGTGTGGAGTGAAAGGAGTTCCCATTTGCTGCTGGTGGGAATGCAGAATGGCCCAGCCAGTTTGGAAGACAGTTTGGCAGTTTCTTACAAAGCTCGACAAAGTCTTTGACAAATGGGGCTACTAGTTATTTACCCAAATGTGTTGAAAACCTAGATCCACACAAAAACCTGCACACCAGTGTTTATAGAAGCTGTATTCATATCTGCTGAAAGTTGCAATTGACCAAGATGTCTTTCAATAGGTAAATGGATAGACAAACTGTAGAATGCAGAATTTGGGGTATATACTTGCCAGAGCCCATAGAATGTACAACATAAAGAATCAGCCCTAATGTAAACTGTGGATTTAGTCAGTAATAATGTATCAATCTTGGTTTATTGGCCTCACGCTATTGCAGGCTCATCACACAAATGCAAGATATTAATAATGGGGGAAATTGTGGGTGGTTGGGTGGGGCAGGGTGAGAGGGAGGGTATGAGAATTCTCTGCATTTTCTGCTCAATTTTTTTTCTGCACACCTAAAACTGTCCCCCAAAAGGCTATTAATTTTAAAAAAATGTGGCCACATAACTGTTAACGACTTACTGAACAAGCCACACATGTTGGGCACAAGCAGAAAGCAACTTTACTCTTTCACACCATTGCTTTTGTCTGAATCTCTATTTCCTCTCCTTACAGATGTCGTTGGTTGATCCTGTAGCTTTTCTGGTCCTTCTCAAATATTAAAAAATCTTGTTTTGCAGCTATCACAGAGTCCAGTCCATTGAGTAATTCAAGTTTGAGTCTCTGGCCTGACCCAGAGCTTGTCCCTACCCCTGGGTGCACCTGTCTCAGGCTGGGAGATGGGTGAGGGGAAGGGCATGGGTGGCTTTCTCACTATTTTACTTCTTTTCCCTTCCCCTCTTCCTTCCCCACTCACAGGTCTGCTGTTGACTTCTCTGGAGATGGAGGAAGGGAAGCAGGATATAATCTGGTTTTGTGGCCTCTGGAATGGTGGCTGAACTCATCCTGGCTCACGGTGGAGCGGTTTCTATGGCTCCCTGGAGGTCTCTGTGCTGGGGTCCTGGGTCCGGTCAGCCCACCTGTATCTTTTTTTTTTTTTTTTTTTTACATTTATTTATTTTTGAGAGACAGAGAGAGACAGTGTGAGCAGGGGAGGGGCAAGAGAGAGGGAGACACAGAATCCGAAGCAGGCTTCAGGCTCCGAGCTGTCAGCACAGAGCCTGATGCGGGGCTCAAACCCACGAATGATGAGATCATGACCTGAGCCGAAGTCAGAGGCTTAACTGACTGAGCCACCCAGGCACCCCCCCTTTTTTTTTTTAAACATTTATTTATTTTTGAGAGAGCATGAGGCAGGGAGGGTCAGAGAGAGAGAAGGGGACAGAGGATCTGAAGCAGGCTCTGTGCTGACAGCAGCAAGCCTGATCCGGGACTCAAACCCATGAACCTTGAGATCATGACCTGAGCTGACATCTGACGCTCAACCGACCGAGCCACCTAGGCGCCCCCCACTCTGTGTTCTCACCCCCTGGCTCCCAGTGACCCCTCCTCAGCAGACAGTGCCTGTTGGGGTTCCTCTGCCCTGGAGGTGGTCCTTGTGACTCAAGGTAGTCCTCGGGCTCACACGGCTCTCTCCCAGTCTCCCTTCTGCCCCTTCTCTGCAGTTGGGATCTGGCTGGCCTCTCACCTTTAGAGATTCCTGAGGTTCTCACCTTTGAACACTTTTGTGGTTTGTGGCTAAGGGTGAGGGGAAACACCTCCTGCCTCCATGAGTGATATTCTTTCCAACAAACTCCTGGCTCCAATCTATGCCTATTGATCTTCAAGACTCAAGTGGGTGATGGGCCCAGGGTTACTGGATTGGTATTTGTGTCCTGTTTATCAAGTTCTATGCTGATGTCATCCCCTCTTTATTTTTCTTAAAATTTTAAAAATGTTTATTTATTTTTGAGAGAGTGAGAGAGACAGAGTGTAAGCGGGGGAGGGGCAGAGAGAGAGGGAGACACAGAATCCGAAGCAGATTCCAGGCTCTGAGCTGTCAGCACAGAGCCCAACGTGGGGCTCGAGCTCACAAACCAGGAGATCATGACCTGAGCCGAAGTTGGACGCTTGCCCGACTGAGCCACCCAGTCACCCCAGTCACTCCCTCTTTAGAATGTGGGGCCCCTGATACCCTCTTTTCCACAGCTCTGGGCCTCAGCTGACATTGAGATGAGAAAGAAAAAAAAAAAAAAAAGCACAGCCCCTGACATTCAGGAGCTGGCCTGGCACTCAAGGCTGGGCCACGTTATTCTCCCACTGGGCATTAGTACCAATCTCAGAGTGCTCTGAGACCATGATAAAACGAGGCAGAGCGAGGTGGCTTTACAACCGTGTCTGAGCACAGACAAAAACAAGTCACTGCATTTCATGCAAATACCAAACACACCCTCTCTTGGCTGCAGGAAATGACTGCTACTTTACCAATGACAGCCCTATCCTCATTCCGGCCTCCCCTCCGCTAGATAAGATTTACTGAGATACCCGGTCATACAACTGCACCCACTTTCTGAAAGCACCTACTCCAGCATGAACCCCTCCTCCCTTCAGCCCTCTTGCCAATCACAGAATAAAAGGCTAAATCTTACAGCAAGCTCTGACGTCCTCTTACTGAGACACTCCATGGTTCCCTCACATGCACGTTCTTCCCCCCTGTGACAGGTATCCAGCCCAACCTGTGCGTTCCTGTGGCCTTTGGCTGAAGAGCTTTGGCAGAAACAACAGCAAAATTACGTTTTAACTTCTTATTGCATGTAATTTGCCCTGGACACCCCTTCTAGGACTTTTATCTATTCCACCCAGATAATAAATGATTCGCTCCTTTCCCCTCTCCTTCCTTCCTTCCTTCCTTCCTTCCTTCCTTCCTTCCCTCCTTCTTCCCCTAATCACAAAATATTTTCCATAATACCTTATCTGAAATCCTTGGGGACAGATTCTTCGGGGTTCAGATGTTTTTGAATGTTAGAATAATACATGTACAAATACTATGTAGCACCTCCAGGAGTTTGGGCAGTATCCTTTCTGCAGTGAAATATAAGCATGTTCACACAATATGGGATAAATATAGACTAGGTAAAGACGAATATTTATAAACTACGTAAAGTTTCATGTCAATTCAGGCCAGGTTTTTGTTGCAAAACGAGTTGGCGCTCACTTTACTAAAACTTTTCATCTTGAAAGCTGTTTTTTGGATTTCTGAGTTACAGATAAGGGATGGTGGGTTCCTACAGATACATACATACATGCCTATAATTGGATAAAAGTTAGAAAATACAGAAAACTACCAAGAAAAATATTCACACCCCTACCAGTCAGAAGTAACAACCATCGACATTTTGGTATATTTAACATATGTAAAAAATACACACATAAATTAAACATACACACATATGTATATGCAAATATGTTTTGTTTCTTCCCCCATCCAGAAAAATGATATTATATTCACATTGTTTTTCACTTAAAATATATAACAGACATTTCTCCATGCCATTAAATATTTTTAGCAGTTTAACATTCACTTCAGTTTTACTGTATTGTTGCACCATAGTTTATCAAACATTTAGACTGATTACAATTCTTCATATTATAAATAATATCGTGATGAATATACTTATCCATATATCTTTCGGTGTTTCTCTAATTTCTTTCCTAGGATAAATTACTAGATGTGGAATTATTGGGTCAAAGGGTATATAAGATTTTTTATAAAAGATTTTATTTTTTTAAATTTATTTTAAATGTTTATTTTGAGAGAGAGAGAGAGAGAGAGAGAGAGAGAGAGAGAGCCTGAGCAGACGAAGGGCAGAGAGAGTGGGAGAGAGAAAATCCCAAGCAGGCTTTGCACTGTCAGCACAGAGCCTGACACGGGACTTGATCTCATGAACTGTGAGATCATGACCTGAGCTGAAATCAAGAGTTGGATGCTGAACCGACTCAGCCACCCAGACTCCCCAAAATATTTTATTTTTAGGTAATCTGTACACTTAATATAGGGCTTGAACTTACAACACTGAGATCAAGAGTCACACGCTCTGCTGACTCAGCCAGCCAGGAGCCTCAGGATTTTTTGAGTATATTTCGAAGTGCATATTTTTTTTTTTTTGTCACAGAGCTTAAAAGAGAAATTACTAAATGTTTTTCATGCATGCAAATGATTTTTCTTACATAGTTACTATTGATTTTGCTCATTATCATTGTTTTAGAGAATTCACTTATATTTAGTAAAAAGTGAAACATTTGTATGATCTGAAGAGAAACCAGAGTATTCACTTATATTTAGAATAAAAATTTGTACTCAGAATAGATTTCCACTTATTAAACATTATAAAAATTCCAAAGAAACAAAGTTCACATTCCATATGAATTTAGTAAACATTTTTACAGAAGTATAAAAATCACTTATACTTTACATTTGTTGAAACTAGGAGGAATTTCTTGATTCAAAATTCTACTCATTACTGTTTTTTAAGTGATACTTCAGAAGCCCTGGTGTTAGATATCCATAGAATACCGCTTACCTCGTATGGTGAATCTGGGGATGTCAACATTTTAATAGGTTTATTAAAGTGTAATTTACATATAATTAAGGGCACATATTTAAAATGTACATTTTGCTGAAATCAGACATGTGAATATATCCATCACCCCAGATGTTTCCTCGTGCCCCTTTATAGTTCCTCTTTCCCATCCCTGCTGACCACCCATACGCAGCTGTTGATCTTCCTGCCACAACAGATTAAAGGTGTGTGTTGTGCGTTGTGTGTTGTGTGGTGTGTGCATGTGCATGCGGGCACACATTCTCAACACTGAGAGGTCCTGAGAACAGTGACACCCTAATAGCAGTAAGCACACTGAGAGCTCAGATCTTAGTTTCTAAATTCCATTCTCCACGAAAATGAGCCAGGGCTCCTTGGGGAAATGAAAGATTTCATGCGTGTGGCAGAGAAAGGACATAATGATCCTGGAATATCTCCTTGTGCTAGAAAGTAAGGAAGTGCTCATACAGCGATGGACACAGGTAGAGAGGACCCAGAAGCCAGGGGCCATGGGGTTCCCCATGACCAAATCTGGTATAATTTGAACATGAAAATGAATAATGTTAGTAACCAATTATATCCCATTGAATAAAGTTGAATCCAGGAGTCTGTAGGAACTCCTTATTTGCTTATTAAAGGGAATAAGCAGATGAAGAGAAGAGAAAGCCTCTCCTTGCAGTGGAATGCCAGCTAATACACTTAGAAGGAAAGATGAAATTAGAATGTCACCATTTGGCACCCATTGTGGAAGTGAATTCATCCAAGAAACATCAATGAATGTTAGAACTAGTGGGTGAAAGTTTGATGTGGATTGGAGTATTTTTATAGTCTCAAATAGTCTCCTACCTACAAAGAGAAAAGGAACAACTTAATAGTGCAGAAGCCTGGCAGATATCGCTTTAGCCAAGTAGTCAGACTTAGCATCAGCTGTAATAAGGCAAAGTGTAATCATGTACCCACTAGTAGAATGTAAGTAGAACTTAATATCACTTCTGGGGCATTTTTGCCAAAAAATGCATCACCTGAATCTCATCATGAGGAATCGTTAGACATACCCAAATGGAGGGACGGTCTACAAAATAATGTCATATAATCTTCATAGGTACCCTGGCCACGAAAGTCAGGGACAGCCACGGAAATGTTTCAGATTAAAGAGGAGAAAAGAGACAGGATGACTAAAGCCACATGCTGTCCTGGACATTACTGGGACAATTGGCAAAACTTGGATGGGTGTGGGGATTCGATGATAGTAAGGTAAATGATTAATTTCCTGATGTTTACATTGCGTTGTTATTGTGTAGGAAAATGTCCTTGTTGGTGGGAAATATATACCAAAATGTTAGTGCTACTCTTGGAACTGAACTGACCATTGTTTGACTCAGTTGCCCCCTGGCTCTAGTGTTGCATGATCTCCAGCCCCTTTGAGGGGCCCGATCCTTCTGTTCCGTATGAAGGGTTCTCCGAGGGTCCCCCACTGGGGGCAAGCCTGGGTTCTCTAGGTGTAGAGGACAAGGACTATTTGAAGAACAATATGAAAGTGGGAAGTAAAGCAACTGAACTTTGTTCTATGCCTGGGACTTCCCCTACTCTTGCTGGAGTGTTGAAACCAGGAAACTTATTAACGCTATCTTGATCGTATCAACATGGCATTCATATTAATATCTTGTGTGGAGGCTGGATTGAGTTAATTTTGGGAATTCCCCATTGCCATAGACGCGATCCCCAGAAGGATTTGGCCATGGGTTAGAAGGTTATTAAAGCTATAGTCTACACAGGTAGATACTGAGCAATCAGATCCTTGCTTCTTAAAGCTGTACAAAATCTGGACATCTGTTTCACGTTTATACATTTCTTCAGGATTATGAAAATTAACCTACCATCAAATACAAAAATCCAGAATTTGTTGAAACCTGGCAATCTTCATGTGGGTGAGGCAGTAAAGAGATAGCTCTTTTTTTTTTTTTTTGAGAGAGAGAGTGAGAGAGAGCACGAGAATGCAAGCGGGGGAGGGGCAGAGAGCATCCCAAGCAGGTTCCATGCCCAGCACAGAGCCCGATACGAGGCTCCATCTCACCACTGTGAGATCATGACCTGAGATGAAATCAAGAGTCAAATGCTTAAGCAATCGAGCCACCCAGGTGCCCCAAGAGGCAACTCTTCTTGCTCTCATAGTTACTCAGCTTTGTTCCCTGTACTCAGGCTACCCTTTACCCACACAGCTGTCTCAGGACCCATTGCTACTATGATCTTCTCTGTTACAGGTGAGTAGGCAGTGGCCTCATTCCTAAGATTCCACCCCTTCCCTTGATTTTCATATAGTTAGCTCCAGGCCATTTGAACTGGCCCCTAAACTGGGTGGACCAGTTATCTCCCCAGGCATCTGAAGAAAATGACTATCTCCGGTCCTCTGCACCTGCCTCTCCCTCCACCTACCCCTCCTTCCGTCACAGTCCTTACCTCTCTTCTGTGAACAGAAATGAAATGCTGGCTCCTGAAAAGCGGTCAGGGTTCCATCATGCTCAAGGATGTTCTGTTCAGCATGATCAGGCTGACAGTGGCAAGACCCAGTCCTTTCGGGGACTCACTGAAGTTTTTCACTATATAGAACTTGGCAGATCGTTTCGGTGCTACCTCCAGATCCCGTAGGTGAGCTGTTGTTTCATGACAGAGCTGGAACCGGAACTCCCGGACTAGTGTCCGTGACGTTACATCACACCATCGTCTCCCTTTCCTGGGGTACCCAGACTACTGCATGTCCTGTACAGAGATAACATTGTTTTCACCATCACCCCCTCCCCCCCACCGCCCCAGCTTTAGAGGGCTTGCTCTAGTCAAGGCTTTGTGAAGTAGGACAAATGCAAACACCAGTTCAGAAAATCTCTTATCAAGAGTGCCTCTAAATACGTAAAAAGGGATGACGGGAGACACGGCCAGGAGGAGAGCATAGTGCCTTGGGGCTGGGGACTAACCCTTTGTAACATGAGAGGATCCAGAGCCAAAAGGGATGAATTGGGGGATTGTGCATCTCTCTGGCTATAAACCGCCTCCTCAGCCCCATCTCCCCATAAAAAGTGATTTGGGATGAACGCTGGAAAACAGCCTGTGCGTACTTGGGAAAAGCAACTTTTCATGACATAATGATTTTGGATACAATCCCATTACGCTGGTGCCCTGCGGCTGTTTTTTCCATGAAGGCATTTCATAATCTATGATCTCCTCTTTGGGAGAAAGAAAGACACTTGGTCATGGGGGTCTGAGTAGGGAGATGGGTGAGAACTGACTTGGTTTTCTTTCAGCACCTACGTACGTTAAGGTTCTCCCTTAATATGGGTTTTCCTTGGGTAAACGCTGGGAGGTCCTTGGCTTGGCTCTGCTGTCTTTAGCAGTCCTGAGCTCTGAACAAGTCAGTTCTGGATGGAATATAAGAAAAACATCTTATGGAAAATAGAGCCTTAATAGTCTGGATAAACAATGGCACAGCCATAGCTATGGCATCAACCACTACAGAAGAATAGCAAAACCCAAATTCACCAAGTAGGACTTTATTCCTGTCATAGTTTGGTTGGCTCTGTGAGTTTGGGGCCAAACAAGACCAAGGTGTTTCCCCTAGAATGTGTGGTGGCCTAAGGTGGGTGGGACTCAAGTGTTCTTGGTTGGGGGCCCCAGATGAGAGTCACGGATACCCCTTCATGGTTGACTCTAAGAGATGGGGTGCTGAGCAGACATTTCAGTGGAGAGAGACCACCCCTGACTCAGGGTATGTCCCACGGAAAGAAGGAGAGGTGGTCAGCCTGCAAAGGGCAAGAGGCCCAAAACAGAGGAGGACTATGGCTACCTAGAGTCATAATAATAGCACATTACCTTTCACTGATGCTTAATAGTTGACAAAGCACTTTGTGCATTGCTTCATCTACAGAAATCTTGTGAAATAAGCAGGACAGATACTCTAGCTGCAATTTATGGGCAAGGAATTCACGATTCACAGAAGTTAAGAGGTCTGTCCAAAGCCACACTACAAACAAGTGGCAGAGCCAGGTCTGGAACTCAGATGTCCTGACCCCATGATCAGTGTGATTGCCAAATGCAGGTAGAATGTGCTGGCACTTGAAGGATGTTAACAGGCTCACCTGTCTTGTAATCCTTACCTCTACTGCCCTAACTTGGAGCTCAGTATTCCCACTATGGATTCATTCTTTTAGGTCAAGGCATTGTCTCCAGCGAAGTCCCATTTAGAGGCAAAAGGTAGGTATAGGAGATTATGAATTCCGCAAGCCATTTCCTCATGCTAATGCCTTAAAAAATGTCTCTGTGGGGGCGCCTGGGTGGCTCAGTCGGTTGAGTGTCCGGCTTCGGCTCAGGTCATGATCTCACAGTTCGTGAGTTCAAGCCCCGCGTCAGGCTCTGTGCTGACAGCTCAGAGCCTGGAGCCTGCTTCAGATTCTGATTCTGTGTCTCCCTCCCTCTCTCTCTGCCCCTACCCTGCTCATGCTCTGTCTTAAAAATAAAAAAAACAATAAAAAAATAAAAATAAAATGTCTCTGTGACTTTTATGCTGTGTTGTGGCGGCAAGATCTCTCAGAGGTACAAACCTGCATTTAGCCCTTAGCTTCTTCGTTCCTCACTGTATTTGCTCTCAAAGCTACATAGAAAAATCTTGTGTGGTGCCCTGTTCTTGGGCCATCTTGGACTATTTATTTATTATTTCCTGGATACACCTTCACATTCTTAATTTCATACCTTTATTCAAGCACTTCTGTTTGCCTTCCTTGCCATAGTCTTCCTCTTCAAGTATAGTGAGTGCTCTGTGAGCCCTAAAAGGCCATCTCAAAATCCCATCTTTGAATATTCTTTTTTTTTTTTTCAACGTTTATTTATTTTTGGGACAGAGAGAGACAGAGCATGAACGGGGGAGGGGCAGAGAGAGAGGGAGACACAGAATCAGAAACAGGCTCCAGGCTCCGAGCCATCAGCCCAGAGCCCGACACGGGGCTCGAACTCACGGACCGCGAGATCGTGACCTGGCTGAAGTCGGACGCTCAACCGACTGCGCCACCCAGGCGCCCCATGAATATTCTAAAACTTTTAATGCAGTTCCTGACAGGGACTGTGGATGGAAGTTTGGGTGGGGCTTTCTGGCAAGTTTCTATCCAATGTGGTGCAATCCCTTACACCTTAGTAGCCTTGGGAAGCTGGGGACTTTCTTGGGGATGGGCAAATATTTTATGTGACAGACACAGTTGAATTCTGCTAATGGTGTGGAATGATTGTATCGGACCCTTAAAGGACATGTGGAATTTTTGAATTGTTCAGTCCACTTTTTCTACGTTGGACACATGAGTCTGTGCTATAGTCTGCAGCCATCTTGCCATTTGGGTAGTTCCCAGTGGAACTACTGAGATCCAGTGGTATCTGGAAAAGGAATTTCGACAAGATACTGTCTGTGATGCCTAAGAAGGAGATACCATAATTATGTCAAGTTGTCATTGTTTTCTTCCCCTTCTTCCCGGTTTCTTTTTTCTCTTTTTCTTTTTTTTTGAGAGAGGGTGAGAGAGCACAAGCATGCGCATGTGCACAGGGGAGGGGCAGAGAATCTTAAGCAGGCTCCACGACCAGTGAGGAGCCCAATTTGAAACCTGACGTGGGGCTCCATATCTCCCTGACTCACCATGAGATCATGACCTAGCCATTGGTCCAGCATCTTTAGGGATACATAGATCATTTGCCCTGAATCTAGACTTCCAATACCGCAGGACAAACAAGATTTCCCCCAAAGAAGCAGAATTATCCCATGTAGTTACAGTACCCTTAAGTAAGACCACTACGTATTGAAATCCGTGAATTCACACTCCAGCTCCAACCCCAAACTGCAAAGTTCATTCTAATTGTTTTTCTCATTTTGGGTCTTTAACTCTCCTTGCTGATAGAGAAAGACTTGGTTCCCATTATCTTTAATATATTTACTTATTTAATCAATTATCTGCATTAGCAAATCTCCCATTAGCACCACCACAGCCATTCACACAGGATGCCCTCTTTACCACAGGGCATCATACCACAGGATACCATGGTATCCTGGGCTGGTGTGTCCCACTGTGCAAAATCCCTCCTCTTTCTGGGGCCCCTGTGTGGCTCAGTCCGTTAAGCATCTGACTCTTGATTTTGGCTCTGATCATGCTCTCACGGTCTTGTCATGGAACTTCATGTCGAGCTCCACGCTGTCATTGCAAAGCCTGCTTGGGATTCTGTCTCTCTCTCTCTCCCTTTCTCTCTCTGTCCCCCACCCCCGCTGGCACGCTCTCTCTCTCTCTCTCTCTCTCTCTCTAAATAAATAAATAAATAAACATAAATTAAAACAAAACAAAAATAAAAATCCCTCCACTTTCTGCCTGGGCACCAACATTCCACGCTGGTCCATGGGTGCATGGATGCTTTCTTTAGGCACCCAGCTGGGCCGGTCCTCTGGCGATGCTCTACCTGTTTTGGCTCTTATACTGCTGTGCCAGGTAGCCCTTACATGGACGCCCTCTTCACCTTGCTTGGGCTCCGACCACCTCTGTTCTGGGCCATCACACCCCCATCCTCTGACATGGAAGCTTGTCTTGTTCAGTTGCACTCATGGATTTCAGACTGACTTGTTCTGGAAAAGGAGGGAAGGGAGAGGAAGAAGAGAGTGACCGTGAAGTTGCTTTATTCTTCAGTGAATTCTGTGACTAATAGGGTATGTTTCATATAGTTTCTTTACTAGGGAGAGTCGGCCTTTGAGAAGACAGTGTGTAGAGGCACAGAGTGTGGGCAAGAGCAAAAGCTCTGGAATCACCTAGAATCTGGCTTTGGTGCTTTGAGTTGGTGACCTTTAACGCCTCAGTTATCTTGTGTACACCATGAGGAGAAAAACTGTACTGACCCCGCAGAGTTGTTGAGGATTAAGTTAGACCATCCATGTAGAGTGCTTAGCAGAGATCCTAGCACAAGATAAGTATGCAATAAAAATGCTCTTATTAAGGACCCCCCTGTCAGGCAGCATGGAGTCACTTTTCCTACCTGTGACAAGAGGAGTCGGCTGACCTCAAGGGATCATTCTAGCTCAATATAGTAGTATTCTAGCATCAAACTACCTTAGGAAACTAGAGGGAGGGATGGTGAATCAAACTTGAGGCAGTTAGATGCTGCTTCCAAGGATGGTGTTTACCTGCACAGGATGGTGTCTCTGAAGAAGGCTCCAGGTCGGGGTACTAGGATGACAGGGCGACACAGATGATGAGAACAACAGATCGTCATCCTTGCGTAGCGCTTTACAGTTTGCAGACATGGTCCACATGCACCATCTCGTGTCATTCCTACAACAGCCTTATGGGGGAGGCATCTTTCAGAGATCTTGGGGCTGGAACCTTAAATGACATTACTCATAAGTAGCAGAAGTAGTAGGGGGTGGGACTCAGTGAGTGACTGCGTGGCAGTGCTGTGCCTGGCCCCACAGGCTAGCTACATGGCTTTCCAAGAGGGACAATTCCAGGTGCTGATTCATGGTCTGCTCTCAATGACCTTTTCTTCAGCTGATGCACCCACCTCTCCTATATGGCTCTTTACAGCCATACAAGGGTTGGTATATTTGGTAACAGAGCAAATATAACTACTGCTCTACCTACCAGGGCTTAAGTTCTAATTTCAGAAAACAAAGGAGACAGCTAGTAATCAACAGAACTCTATTATTAGGATCACGAAAAGGCACTGAGAAGAAAGGGTGAGTCAGGCATTGGGATG